AATCTGGAAGCCAGCCAAGATGGTGTTTAGCTCCTGACAGACAACCTTGGGCTGCTTCAACCATCCAAAGTGCTGATGGCAGCCAAAGTGCCCTGGGGTCCTGTGAAGCTGCTCCTCTCCCCTGAAGGCAGATATCCAAACTCATGGGTGTGACCATGCTAAACTGTGGCCCTGACCACTAAACTACCACAGTCCATCCATCCACCTGCTGCTGAGCATCTCACACAGCCACAGCCTGTACTCAGTTGCCCAGCCTCCAGAGTCTCCCAGCCAGCGTGTCTGGCAGCCTCCAAATATTGGAGTCCCCTTGGATCTGAAGCCAAGTCAGTTGTCTGGGCACCCTGGGGGTCAGCCAGACAATCAGTCCTGGCATGTATGAGCTATCCTGGCCAGCCTCGTGGGGCAGGCAAGGCCCAGGAGCTCTGCAGAGCCAGCAATGCTCGTGGGGTAAAGCAGGACTTGGGAACTAGAGCTCCATCCTTGGGAAAGGCTCCTGGCAGTGCTCCTGGAACCAGGCTGGGAAGGGCCAGTCCCTCGGGTGATGGCAGGTGTGCCACAAGCTGGAGTGAGGCCAGGAGAGGCTGAGGGAGCTGGACCTGCCTCGGTGTGAAGAAGAGAAGGGTGAGGGGTCTCAATCACTGCTCGGGATTGGGTGGTGCTGGAAGCAGAGAGGGTGGGGAGGTGCAAAGCAGAGGGATGAAGTGGCAAAGCTTCAGCAAGGGAAGTGCAGATGGGAACAAGGCAAAGGAGGTGCAGCCCAAGAGAGGGACCCAGGCCAACTGCAGGGTTTGCCCACTCCAAATGGTCCCCAGTTACCCCTCCAGCCCCTGCTCCGTGACTGGGGGGTAGCTACACTCCAGGTGGGATCTGGCCATCCCTTATAGACTGGCCTTTCTTCATTGTGGCTCCTGACTCTGCTCTAGCCCCAGAGGCACTCAGGTGACCCAAATTCCTCTGCCTGCCTTCCTGTCAGGGCTGGGGTGGGGGAAACACTTATAAACCCCCCACTCCTAAGTGGTCAGAGTGGTGAGGCAGCACTCCTGGCTCATCTGCAGCTTTTTCTCCTAAAATTTCTTTCCCACATGGCATCTTCGGGGCTACAAGGTGATTAACACCCCCTTTAAGCAAATTCTGGATGCCTTTAAGCCCCTGAGGTGTTACACATGGCTTACAAGTTGGGCTCCATTAGCACTTGATTTGCTGTTTATTAAAGCCTCAATTAATCTTGTATTAACGCTTTTCAAACACAACTTTTCCGGAGGTGTAGCAGCCTCTGAGGCAAGGAGCTTAACTTCTCCCCAGCCTGGTGTCACCGATGTCAGGGAGGATTTAGCTCTGGATCTCTCCAGGCTGAGAGCTGAGGAGTTGGGAGGCTGCAGAGAGCGAGAGCCACCCATGAGGATGCTCTGATTATTGTGGGATAACACCACCCCAGAGACACCTCTGGCTCTGCTGCTCCCTAATCTGGGGTGACTGGGGGAGTAGGATCCACGATCTGGGAGCCCACTGCCCACCCTACCACCCCAGGGGAGAAGGGGAGAGGTTTGGGGGCAGCCTGGGGGTGTTGTAGCTGGCAGAGGGAAGATCTGCTAGCCAGGATCCTGCAAAGCTGGAGCAGGTAGAGGGTTCTGGAATGGGAAGATACTCACCTGAAAAGCAGAACCCTTTCCTGCCCCTGCCCTGGCAGCCCTGTGGCTTTTGGGGGGATGTGAAAGAAGGGCTGGATTGGGAGGAGTGTGGTCAGCAGGAACAGCACCCTGTGCTCCTCTGTGGGCTTGGGGTGCTGCCCCGGGCACCCTGAGCAGGCAGGGCGGGGGTGCTGCCTGTGCTGGCATCCAGACCCATGTCCGGGCGAGGCAGTGGTGGGATGGAGGAGATCTCCCATCCCTGCCAAGCTGGGATGCTGCTGTTGTCATGGCAACGTGGGAGACCTGTGAGCTGGAGCCCATAACCCACCCCTTTGGGTGGTGGGGGAGTGTGCAGGGCTGGGGGTGCTCTCCATCCCCTCCCTTGAGCCCTGGCATCCCCCCACACCCCAAAACTGCCATCAACCCCTTCCTCCCAAAGCTGACACACCCACCTCTCTTTCAGCTGAAAGACCCTGGTGAAAACACTGGGTTTTCCACGGGGAAAAAACACCTTTGGATGAAAAAATGTGTCCAAACCCGTTGCAGGGAGCACAAAGCCAACGCAGAGATGTCAGCAGCCTCCTGCTTCCCTCTGCCCTGTGTTGAAATCCTCCCGGCTGGCTGAGGCTGGAGCAAAGGCACTTAACACCCAGCAGGGTTTGGCCCAGAGCTGTTCCCTGTGGGATGCTCACAGGGCTCTTTCCACCAGGCAGGGATGTACCTGGGAACTGGCTGTGGTGGGATGGGGCTGGAGATGCAGCCAGCTCTGCTCTCCCTCTTCCCAGAAGTGGCTGGATTGTCACACAAGGTCACCTCTCCCTTCTTCCACCAGCTGTGGCCCTGCTGAGACATCTCACGTGGCACAGGCTGGATTTTTCTCCACCTCAGGACAGCTTTTGCTGTCTGGCTCCAGCAGCTCATCCCCGCTGGGGCCCTTGGCAGCTGCCAGGCTCTAACTGACGTCTGTCCATCATTCCCAGCAGCTGGAATCACGGACAGCAGAGGGGCCCCGAGGGAAGGACAGGCAGGGATGAACCTGAGCTGCATCCCCTCCGGGGGCATTCTGCTGCCACCAGAAAGGGATCGGAATGCCCTCGTGCCTCCTCCCACGGCTCCCATCCCTCCAGCATTCCCGCTCAGCCCTGTGCTCGGTTCCGCTGGGGTGCCGGGTGGCACATGAGTCACATTTCCTCCCAACGCCCATTCCAGCTTGGTGCTGCCACTATTTTTGGAAATTCTTGGAAGCAGATCAGCCCTGAGAAGCACATTTAATGGGTCCTCACCACGCCAGGCTCACGTCCCTCCATGTCCCTGTGCCAGGCTAGGGAAACCCCCGCCAGCCCGGATCCTGCGCTCCCCTCCCAGTTTGGGATGCGTGAGTGGGAACTCACTTCTCATCCCACAGCCCCTCCTGAGTCAGGGGGGAGCTGAAGCACCGTCTCAGTGGCAAAACATTACCTTTTAAAGGACCTGCTTGGGATTGGGGTGGGACTTCCTGCAATGCCAGCTTGGCATGGATCATTGTGCTCCCATTGAGTGGATCATTCCCAGCTATTTTTACTCTCAGCCCCTGGTGTTTTAGCTGGGGCTGCAGTGCCTCACTTGGTGTCTCTGAGCAAAACCGGGCACAATCCAGCTCTGGAATCAAAGGGTGGATGAAATGAGAGGAAGGTTCAGCAGCTGAGTGTAACAGCCAGGCCTTTCCAGCTCGGGAGGGATCTGGTTTTACACATGCACCCACATCCATACCACCCCACACCTGCCACCCTGCGCCTCTTCCCTCCAGTCCTCCAGGATCTGTACAAATCCAGGAGTTATTTTCCTTTCAGAGCAGAGATTGTGCTGCTCATCCTTTGCTTGGGGCACTGCCCAAGGTCAGTGGTCATGGCCCCTGGGATGTCCAGCTGCCTTCCTGGCCAAGCCTGGGAGCAAACTCGGAAGTAACGCAGGGATGTGGTGGTTTTGTTGGGCAGGTGGTGGCTTGGTAAACTTCAGACACGTTTTTTGGGTCTGAAGGTTTTACCTGGAGACAAGCAGCTCTGGCCCTCCTGGCGCTGCCGGGCTCAGCATCCCGACCTTGCCGGGATAAAATTACCCATTTCAGTTTGAATTAAAGGCAGCTCCGCTGGAGCCGCGTGAGGTTCAGCTCGAGGACGTCAAATGGCAGCGTTCCCTTTTTTTGTCTGCATCGGGGAGGGGAGGGTCCTGCCAGCCAGCGCCTGGTGACAATGACATTGATTTCCTAGACCTCTTGTCGTGGCCAAATCTGTATTTTTAGCCGGGGAAGAGAAAAATATAAATCACGTGTCGAAGCAATGCTTTCCCTGCCCTGCTGGGAGCGAAGGAGACAAGAGCCGTCGCTGCTGGAGCTGTGGATGAACGGGGCTCGGCGCCCTGTCCCTGGAGCGGGGCTGGGAATGCACCAAGGAGCTGCATCTTCCCGGGGTCCATCGCAGGCACCGCTCCCAGCTGAGCACCACACAGCCCCGCCCCGGGCTGGGGACCCCGAGCCCCCCGCGATGGGGGTCCTGTGGCAGGGAGCAGTGGGACCCCCACTCCCCAGGGATCCCATCCATCCCCTCGGCATCCCCTGTGACTATTTATCTTCCGGGGCGGGCGCTGCCTTCATCTCCTCTTCCCTGCCACCTCCTCCTCCTCCTCGCTCTCCCCCATCCTGTTCTCATTTCCCCAAGAAGACTTTAATGAAATCTGCCCTTAATTAAATCCACATTCATTTGCATAATTACCAGGAAATTGAAATTAGCCTGTGGACGTGGCTGGAATACATTTGGCATCAGGCAGCCCTGGCTGTTCAGAGGGGGCTGCACCAAGGGCAGCTCGGTGCCCCCCACCCAAGGGAGCTGCTCCCCGTGCTCCTTCCCTCCCACCCAGGGGTGGCCACGATGGCCGGGCATGGAGGGGACGTGGTGACAGTGGGGGGACAGCGAGCCCCAGGCAGAGGTTGTGCTCCCCGCCCACACCAGCAGCATCGCTTTTGCTTTATTTAATAAAAAAAGTCTTCACCGCCATTGACAATTTTTTTGTTGCTTTTATAACTATGTATTTTGTAATTTTTTTATGGTTTCAGTTGTGGTTTTTGTTTTTTGTTTGTTTTTTTTTTAATCCTTTTCAACAGTGACAAACTGAGGTAACGTCTGTGACACTACAGCCTCTCCTACGGGAAGAAGGTCTGAAACCCGACAGCTGAGGGAACTGGAAATAAAAACCCGACAACCTACCGACACAGCGACCTCGATGGGGACAGAAATCACACGGGGCACCCCCCGGGACAGACCCCCGGGAGGTGCCGCCGAGCCCTCGCAGAGAGGCACCGCCGAGCCCTCCCGGGGCGGCCGGGATCCCTTATCTACATTATTGCACGAAAGATTGAGGACATCGAGGGACCTAAGGCAAAAAGGAGAAAAACCGGTGCCTAGAGCGTCTCTACTTAGGGGCAATGCTACTTCTA